ATATTTTCTGATGGCACTTTTCCCATCAATTGGAACATTTACAAGATTGGTCATTTTAAGAACATAAAAATTTATTTTTTCCTAGAATTTGCCTCAAGGAGAAATGTCCATGTTTAAATAATTGGCTAAAATTTAGAGAGAAGGAATGAATCAAATGTATAAATAATGAATGAGTAGGTTCGTCAGTCACAGAAGAGTGGCAGCAACGTGGCCAGGCCTTTGCTGAGGAGCAGCGTGAACAAGTCTCCTTCTAGTTACCAAGTCAACCAAATATGCAATGTCCAAAAACCTCTTCACTTATTAAAAAATACAAGTATGTATAGTTAGTAACAAGTAACGGTGTTATGGAAGTTTATAAAAATTGAATGATTGCTACAGTGTGTTAATCCCTTTTTCTGATAGTAAAACTCCAGAGTCTTTTGATAAAGGCTGGCTTTCATCTTCTTTCAGAGCCAGAGTCTCCCTCCCTCTGTCGCCAGGCTGGAGTTAGTGTTGTGGCCATAGCTCAGGGCAGCCTGGAACGCCTGGGCTAAAGCCATCCTCCTGCCTCAGCCTGCCCAGTCCATGGGACTACAGGTGCCTGCCGTCACGCCTGGCTGAGCTTTTAATCTGGGGGAGATGGGGCTTGTCACTGAGTTTGAGAATAATACGAGGCAGGTAGGAGCAGAGGTGGGGTATCAGGATCAGGTGTGTGTTATCAGTTTGCCAATGTGCATGGCCTTAAACAAGCTTCAGTTCTCTTTAAAATAACAGCTCCTTCCCGGTGTGAGTCAGTGTGAAGATTAATGGGGGAAGTGACCCTAAGAGACCCAGCAGGGGCCAGGCCCATGACAGAGCCCACCTATTTTGACTCTACTGTAGAGATAATAAAATGAAGGTTTAAATGATTTATTTGTTTGTTTTTAAGAAAGTCAATAGCACTCAAATCCCAGTCTGAGTATTCTGGGTTTCAATATTTCCCCAGGCATATTTCTCAAGTATTTCTCTCCCCTCATGTAAGGTTTCAGGATTAAGTAACATCAAAGGGAAAATCAGTACTTGTAATCTCCCAAAAATATACATGATATTTCCTATTCTGTTGTTAACATTCCCATTTGAAGATACAGTTTTAATAAAGGCTGGCTTTCACAGCCAGAGGCAAAGGCTTCTTTTTCTAGTGAAATCACCCTAGATCAGTGGTTCTCAACCTTCCTAATGCCACGATGTATTTTCATTGTTACAAAGGGGTCGTGACCTGCAAGTTGAGAACCACTGCCCTAGATGTTACTGATGAGAGGGAGAAATTTAAAATTAAAACACATCGTATCCTATTTTTATTTTATCATCTTTATGCAAACCAGTTTTCTGGCTGCAGAGGTAAATGCTCACAAATACTCTGAAGGTCCCTTTTTTGCCATCCTGCAGATTGCCTGTAAAAAAAGCTTGTTGGACTCAGTTCCCTCCCAAGCTGTTGCACATGGACCCGTCTGTGGCTGCCGGGCTCACGGCATGGGGCTGCCTCTGCCCAGAATTTAACCAAAATCAAGATGTGCTTTTGTTTTCACATCCTCTTGTGGAACAGATAGTGGCTGCTGCAAATTCTGGGCTACAAAGTCTTATCAAATGGGGAAGGAGAGGCTCACAGAAGCCTGTGAGGGGACCACGGAGCGCACTTACAAACTGGTTACATCTCCACAGTTTTGAAAGAAACAGTGAATGGCCTGTAGCATATTTGGCTCAGTAATGATAACAGGACCTGTGTTCTTTGTATGACTGTAAATGCTTCTTCTCAAAGGATCAGTGGCTTCTGAAATGATGAAGTCAGTGGGAAAGAAGAAATGATGTCAGAGGGTGCTGGCACACCTGCTGTGAGAGCCAGGTTCCCACTTCCCACCATGGAGACCATAGTTAGGGACTGTGTGAATCCCAGGGCTGGTCACCAGTTCCCAGCATGGAGACCATAGTCAGGGACTGTGTGAAT